CTCATTGCTGCTGGATGCAGCAATTGCCTGCATAGGATAGAGGAGCTCCTGCCAGAAGCTCCCAAAGAGGGCGAAAGTCTCACCAACGCAAATCTGGTGCTCTCCACTACTTCCAGTGAACACAGTGGAAAAAGCAAGGAAACAGCAAAAGTTCCTGAGGACTTTCCGGAGAGCACGGCCACAGTTCCTGTTGAAATGCATTGAACAAGAACAGTAATGACTGCTTATAACGTCAAGCTGTTCCTTCAAATTCAGCTGGTGTGTGAAGTTACATGGAGACTGAATTCTACAGGAAGTCTGAAAAGTCTGTGTCGGATTTTCTTTCGATCTAGAAGACTACAGAATGTTGGACAAGAGTAAAATAATGTAATTGAAGTAATTTTTCATAGAGTGCAGTGCAAAACTGTCTTGTCAGACTTTCTTCAAACTTTGCAGACGCCTTCTTCAGTCACAATTTTCAGAGCAAATGACTATTCCAAGTCAAAGATACAGTGGAGTTAAAATTTTGTAACAGTTTGTAGTAAAAGCCAGTAGCAACCCTAACTGTGCAGAGGTGGGTTTAACTTCTCCATTATATTTTGTCATTAACTTGCCACTGTGAGTTGTAATACAAAATTGCTTTTGGAAGAAGTTCAAGTTTTCTTTTATTGTAATGGGAAGCCTCAAGACTTTATCTTTTTGCTGCATTCTTAGGTAGAAAATACAGCACTTGGAAGAATGAATTTTGATATACACATAGCAGCCTCAGAATTAATCCGGCAATTTTGAGTAAGCCAGTACTGAAATATGTGAACATCACTGTAATGCTGACCTAAGTGTTGTGAAAATAGGGAAGAAAGCCAATCATTCCCAATTCTGCAGATGTTCTGACAGCTAAAGAAGGCACTAACAATTTGCAGCACATGGCATGAGGGATGAGACTGAGCTCTGCAGCTGAGTGTCCTGACTGAAATAAAGTAGGCAGTGAGGGTAGCTCAGAGAAAAGCCCATTTTATCATATACTGCAAAGCCAACTAAACAGGTTAAAAATGAAATTTTATGATAAATGTGAAAACAACTTTGAATTTTCATTTGGAGATGGAAGCTAGCATCTTTGCCAGTGCAAATCTGTGCTTTGTTTTCAATTAGTATAATAATTATTAGATGTATGTTTTCTGTTGACGTAGTTGTTGCTCAGTGTTAAGCGTAGTAGAGACCTAGGCAATACTATTTTTTATTATTATTTTTATAATTGAGTATATAACAGTAATAATATATAATAATCTTACGTAATATTATAATATAGAATAATATAGAATAGTAATAATAAGTAATTTTGCTATGGAAAGAAAAGATCCAGGGAGATTCCTGACAGTAATAATGAAAGACCAGACTGGATCTGGAGTAATTCCGTTGTTGTGCAGCTTAGGTGTAGTTTTTTACACACTGGCATTGCCTTTTTGCATACGTTTAGGTTGAGGAATTTTGGAAAAAGTAAAAAAAAGGAGGATTAACACTTGAGCTGTGCCACCAAGGATAAGTATGTCGCGTGTTACTTCTGGTGGGGCGAGATCATACCGAGGGCCCTTTTCACGGGGATTCGCTGCCATCCGTATTGCTCAGTTGTGAGCAGTTTTATACCTGTTTATACCAGTTTTATACCAGTTTTATACCTGCTGCCGCATGTGGGGGGCCGCCAGACTCTTTTTGAAGGATGCAGGAATGGCCACGTGTGGGGTGGTGCTGGCCGGCTGCGGGAATTCCCATTGGGACACAGAGGGCCTGGGCAGGGCTGCGGCGGGGGGACGGTTCCTCGGTGCCGCGGCGTCCCCCCTTACAGCTCCCCTGTAGTGACATGGAAGTAATGTGAGCGCAAGAGCTCCGCTGTGATCCTGCTCAGCCGGCGGAGATAACTTGTTATAATTGGGGTGTGAGCCAGCAGCAGGCGCTAGGTGCGACGGTAAGGACAAAGGGAACAGGAAATCGCCATACGGCGTCATATGCTCCTTCTCAACCTTAATTTTGATTGCAGCTGTCAATGTGGTATTAGAGTTCTTGAATGTGTTATTTTATGAGCTCCATGTGTGGGAGAGATTTTTTTTGAAACTGAAACAATGCTAGGAAATGATTGGCATAAGGTTAGCTTAGACATATTGCAGCTCCGGAGATAGCTGCATGAGAAACAGCAATACGAACTAATTGGTGAAGAGGGAAGATTTTCCTGAATTAGTTGAAATTTGCATTTTTCATCCATGTGTTGTTCTGCCTCTTATTTGAGTTTAAGAGTAAGTGCTAGGAGATATATTCAAGAAGGGATATTCCCCTAACTCCCATTTCTTAAGCTCTATAACAAACGTTCTCTTTTTCTTTCTTCACTTTACTTCTTTCAGTGCCACAGTTGTGTTCTTTTACAGTATTAGGGACTGTGTGCCCATAATGATTTGAAATGTATTATGAGAAAATGTTAAAATACTGCTGTGGAAAGAAAAAAATATACCCAAGGCACCAAAGGACACATAGTTATGACCAGTGAGAACTGGGATTGCAGTGGTTTGCTATGTCTGGAGACTGCTTTGAAAAGTACTGTTCGTGGAGGCTTAAAGATAGGCACAGTTAGCTATTCACACCTTGGTCTGTGGCCATATATATGGCTCAAGCCTGAGAGAGATGAATTTCCTGTCTTTATGCAAGTACTGCAAATGAATTCTTTCATGCTTTCATTTGACCAAAACTCTTGAGAATGATTCCCTGTGTTTTTCTTCAAATTTTATTTACTCTTTAATCTTTAGCTTTTAATAGAGCGAGTATTGGCTTAGAGTTACAGAGTGAAACTGTAGTGATTTTGGAAACATAGTTGATAAATAAGTAGTTCTACAGCTATGCTAATGATTTATATCTATATATATTTTAGCTGAACTTTCTGGTTGCACATCCTTCTAAACTGGAATGTTATCTTAATTTTTTTCTTTTGTATAAATATAAAAAAAGTAAAAATGTGTAGTGCTAGGCAACAGAGAAGTAAGCTTGAAAAAATGTAAGTGTATGTGAGTGTATATATGTACACGTTATATATAAACTTCCATGCAAAAATAATTTTAATAACACTATACTAAAATAATCGTATGTTCCTGGTGACTCATTTTTGTGAATTCATATAAGAACATATTCTGAGCAGCCTTAGACTGAGATTTGCAAAATGATTTGACTCTATCTACTTACATGGCACATTTGAAAAGGTGAGATTTGCATTTGAAAAGGATGAATCAGATCTGAAAATACCTTGGAGATTATTCCCCCCTCCCAGGTTTGGAACCATTTACTGTAGCCATTGACATCTAGCATGATTTTTGGTGGAGTGTTTCCTCAATAAACTTGTGTAACATTTTTATTTAAGAAAAGGAAAAGAGCAAAAGTAAAGTGGATTTCTTACGTGCCAGAGTTTTGTTTTGTTTTGTTTTGTTTTTGATAAACCTTCAACTATACAAAGGTTGGTTCTAGATTGTTCAATGATATTTTCATAAATGAAAAAAATGAAGTGTGGGATGCAGTCCAGTTAAACTTGCATAAGTTGGGACTTTTTTTCCTATAACTCATCTAAATACCAGACAGCAGTAAGTTTGAATACTTCCTGGGCCTGTCTAATTTCACCTAACTTCATTGTTTCCCACTTGGGCTGAAAATTTCATAAACACAAAAATTATTTTTACTTCTGCATGCTCAGAGCTGTTTGTTTTGACAGGATGGACACATCTATTTAAACTTCTCTTTTAAACCCAGGCTTAGGTAAACAGATAATGAACTCCACCTTAATACCCAGGAAAAATCCAAGCACCAGAAACCCTTCTTTAATAGCCCGTTGGATAAAGCACTCATCCACAAAGTGAGATGGCCACGTTGCGGGTTCTCCTTAGACTGACCGTGCTTAAGCATGCAGTCCAAGAGAGTCCCTGTCCCAGCAAACCTGGTGCTGACTGCAAATCATGGTGATGTTCCTAATGCGTGTATGAACAGAGCTGAACCAGAATCCCCCCTTCCGAGGCTGATTCTCTCTACCAGATATATCCCCTTCCCCCTAGGACTAGGGAGGATTTTTCTTTAGGAGGTTTCTTACAGGAAGATATTAGCAGAATCGCCGTATCTGGAACTTTTATCAATATTCGTTTGAGGATTTTGTGGTGTTTTACTGCACCTGGCATAAAGGCAGAAATTCTCTGCAATTACGTGATATTTAGTTATTAGATAATTACAGATAATTGCAAGGGTAAGTTCTATCAAGTAAAGTGTTACCATAAAATTTAAATTCTAGCAATCGGATAACAATTATGGTTGAAGTTATATCGTCACCAGGTATAATTACCATGAGATCGGCAGCACATGTAATTAATGAGTAGTCACATGGAATTTGCCTTCGGAGTTACACTTCCCCTTTTTGTAAAGTTCTTTGTCACAACATTTGACTGTGAAGATAACATAAATTGGCCTTCCGAAGTGCTACATTAAAATCCAAAATACTTCTTTCCAGTGTAATACTCGCTACTTAGTGTTCTAACTGCATAGGTTGATGGAGGGAACAGGGAAAGGGTGGTGCACTGTGAACCAGGGAGAACTGAACTAATCACCTGCGGGAAGCTACTTTTCAATGGATACCAGCATCCAATTTTAAAACTCTTTGTCCTTCAGTAACTTGCTAGTGAGATAACTCTTCCCCATAGCTATCCAAAAATAACTCTTTATTATATATTAAAGCTAGTTTATACCTAGCTAAAATTCTATTAGGAATAAACTCTTTCAAGACCCCACCACATCATCTACTATCTTCCTTCCAACAATGTTTAATAACGTCTCTTACAGGAGTGAAGAATCTGTAAATCACTCTTGGATTCATATTCGGCAAAGCTCCTTTTTCCTTTTTTTATATTGTTTATATAGGACACACTTTTGCCAAACTTTTCAAGTTACTAAATAGTGTTTTTACTTTTTCTTTTTTTGTTGTTTTTGTTGTTGTTTTCATTATTTATTAGGTTTTACCTGGCAGGATGACTATACGCAGCATGTTATTGGTCAGGAGCTCTCAACCATTCATAAAATCCACAACAGACGCCCTGATATATTTCCCTCTGAAAGGTCTGACACAGTAAGGTAAGTTTGCAACGACTTTTGTGCCCAGTAGGTTTTGGGGGATTTTTTTTTGCAAGTGATAAGAAGCAGAATGGCACCATAGCACTGATTCTGAAATGTTAAACACGTCACTAACATCACTAACCGGACGATAAATGGAAACCAGTTGTACAAAAGTACTGAAAATGCTCTTTTCAGTACTGAAATGAATGAATGAGAACCCTGAACAAATTAAAAAAATGTTCCTTCTACAGTTAGCTTAGGGGTCAGAAATTAAAACTTTTTGTCCAGTTGATGCAGTATCTAGTTTCAGTTCAGCCAGCTGTACTTGTGCCTGGCTTAGAAACACAGACGTGTACAATAGCTCATCCACAGGAGACGTTTTCTTCTGGAATGAACCAATGAGAAGAAACAAAAAGAGGTACTGAAAGAGTTTCAGACCAACTAATATCATCAAATTCATATTTTTCCAATACGCTGTTGTAACGGGGTTGAAGTCCATAGATTCTCTGCTTTGGTAGCAAAATTTCTCCAAGAAAGAGATATTTATATAAGATGTTAGGGCAGGAAACAATGTTGGGACATGTCTACCTAATCTTTGCATTATAGAAGTCATTTCTCTAGTGGCTTGAAAGATATCAAGGGATAGCAAGAGACAAAGGCTCTGTAATTATGTAGAGAAATATGGATGTAGGACTTCTGTCTTCTTCATATACAGATACATATATAATAAATATACTGTTTTACCTGTTCTAGTTTGCCCTTACAGGCTTTAAGTTCAGCCTAATCGTACAAACCTCAGAAGTAAATTTAAAAAATGTATAATTTACTAGGAATGTTAAAAATGGCAAATTTGGTTTTCTTCTAAATGATCTTAAGAAATGAAATCTCAAATTACTGAGCTTGAAGGAAAGCACTACCTGTTAGAAAATTTTCCTCCTAGTGGAACAAAGCTGGAGCTCCTAGCCCTGATGGGCAAGATATTGGATGTTTGACCTTAGTTAGATCTTGATAGAATTTCTTGCTCATGGAAATCATATCCTGCAAAGAAGGAGAAACCATTTCTCTGCTAGATTGCTCTTTTATGGAAATAAAAATACTGTGTAATTGAAAATGCCCAGTGGCTTCAGTTGTGTATGCTCCAGTTTGCTCTGATTTAATTCATAGAATTTGACCCTGTATTTTTCATACTTACTGATTCATTCAGTGTAAAGGAAACAAAACCACTCCTTAAAATTACAGCACATACCTTTCAGGAGAGCAGTAAGGTTGAAGCTTAACTTTAGTTAAGGTACTGATATATAATTTATCATAAAGATGATAAAAACACATGTTGGAATCCATAAACCTGTTCTCACTGCTTACATACGCTAAATGCCATTACTGTATGGATTACTCTCCGGCATCAGAAATGATTTTGTAAATCATATGGGGATTATTTTTCAGAAATGACCGTACCCTATGAACTTTTATTCATGGGAATATGATAATATAGGCCAGATTTCCAAGAGATCAATACCATATTCTCCAGTACTCTAGATTCTTAAATGGAGTTATATAAAAATGAAATGTATAAAAATGTATATAATTAGTTTAGTTTTGCACTGAGTACATAAGATCACTTATAGGAGTTCCTGTTGTAATCAGGTTTGAAGTGCTTTGCATTTTTAATTAGAACTGTATTTTTAAAAAAATAATCCATTCTGTGTATTGACACTTTATGAACATCGGAATTACAAATGTGTTTCACTTATAGCAGTTCCTATTGTAGATAGATTTTCTGAAGTCATCAAGCTGTGCTTCTGAAAGCATTATCTTATGTGCCAACAGTTTAAAACATTAATAGATTTTTCTGGTTTTCCATTTACAATATATTCTATAGGTCAGGGAACGGTGGCTTTTTTTTTTCCTCGCAGTTTCTGATAAATTTTGCTATATGCTCAGTCTGCTCAGTGCTTTTGCTAAAATATTGTCAGATAATAATTAAATAATTAAAATAGCAACATAACATAGGTATCTGATTATCAAAGAAACATTGTGGCAGGAAGACCTTTTATTAAGCATAATGTGTAATAAGGCAATATGAAGTCATCTTAATGAGTCATTAATCCCCACGGAGTTAGTGAGAGCAGGAAAATAGACTCAGACACTTGAAAGGTAAATTGACTTAGGCTAAATTAGTGCATATGAAATCGGATAGAACAGAAGACATGGATTTCATCTTAACCTCTCCCCTGAAACGAGGAGCTTGATTTCAAGATGAAAGTTCTTTCTTTGGTGGCTAACAAGAGTATACATGGTATTTCCCGGGCCCTTATTAAATTTCAAAAAAAAAAAACCCACCCTTGAAAGAGGATCCAAGAAAAAGGAAAAAACTCCATTCCGCACACAGGCAATAAATGTCAGTTGTGTTCATTGGTGCAATTAGGCAAAACCACAAACATTTCCAACAAACTTCAATGTATAAAATTGGATATAGCATTATTTCCATAATAAAGCCATCATTAAGTCAGTAATAAGAGTCTATGGCATTTAACAGGGAGAAACTCTTTATCCTAAAAAGTATGGTATCTATCAATTCAGAGCATTCTACAAAAGCATAATATCTGCGGTGCAGTGGTTCAGATATTACCTGCAAAAGATTATAGCGTGCTGTTTTTTGTAGGAATTATGTAATTATTTCTGTGCATAAATAATTGTGTATATTATTCTTTATACATTGTAGTTCTTTGTATGCAAAGTTCTTTTTCAAAACAAATTAAAACAGAACATACTTCCAAATAAGTGCACAACAAGAAGTCAACTGACAGTCATTTCTCCTACTCACCAGGTGCTTTTGCGTATTCCTCTTTAATCCATTTTCCAGTATCACTTTGTCACATTTAAGGGAAAATTTTAATTTGGTTGTAAGAACAGCTCATTTAATGCATTTTACTTTCTGCAGTAACAACATTAACAATAGTGATACATCAGTGAACTGCAAAGATTTTTTAAAAGCCTTTCAAATGTACTTGTAGAATTGTATTAAAGTCGGGATCAGTTGAAATGTAATGCTTTGATTGTCTTTTACTTTTTGATTATTATTTACAAGTTTATAGCATATAAAATTGCAAACAATATGGAATTTAAACACAATTTGACAGCAATTGCTATCTCCACAAGAAAAGTGAGGAATCTTGGGCCTCAGTTTCTGCTTCTACCACCAGAGTGAGTGATTATATACTGTAAATAATGGCTTGGAAAGCTAACGTAAAGACTGTCTTTTATCTGTGCATTCAATTCCCATTACCTCCAGCGGAAATCCTGATGGTAGAATTTAGTCTCATATTTCCATTTGCTCTCTCTTTTCAAAGTTAGCAAAGAAAGGAGAAGATAGATTTTGGAATTAACCAAAGAATGAGAGATGAGTATTTGAAACTGGGATACCTTCTCTATGATAGCCTCTGTGGATTAGTTCATCTCTATTGAAGCAGAAAGTCTGCTGCTCAGCTCATGCTAGCACTGCCGCACAGTTTTAGTCTGCCTTTAAGTTGCAAAGGAGTTGGGTGATTTTACCTGCACCTCTGCCCTCCATCGCCAGGCAGAATTCAGACCTCTAGAATTAGAGAAAAATACAAATAGCGTAAGAAGCAAGCAAGACTTGGGGTGAATTATAGCAAGACCTCTGTAGTGCCCTGTGCAGCAAAAACTTCCTTCAAAAAATTTTCCTCCAATCTGCGTGCCTAATGGGTAGCTAGTTTTGTTTTATACCTTGAGATTGGACGCAATGGCTTTGGAAATGCTCAGCACAGGGACAGGACAGTCTGAGCCTGTCCTCTTTGCAGCAAATTTAGGTATATGCTGGGGAGTGAAAAGCATATTGAGGGTGCGGTTGAAAAACTTCTGGAGTGTGGGAGTTCACAGGCAAAGGCTTTCGCAGCCATCCTTCCTTGTGGGTTGCAGCTCCTGCGCCCTGTCTCTCTCATGGCCTCAATATTAGGTAGGACCTGCAATACAATTAATTAATTACTATAGTTAATTAATGAATACAGTCGTGAACATGGACAAAAGGTTGTTACTTTATGCATTGCATAAGGCCAAGCAATTAAACCCAAGATCTGGAAAATGAGATAACGGTACTTTTTCAAGCTATGCTCCCAAATAAGCACCACCACATGAACTGGTGGAATCAAACGTTGCTTACGGTTGCCTGCAGGTGTTTAAAGTAAAATGTTGCCCCCTCTCTGTGGACTGTGAACTCCTTTCCCTGGAGCTCTTCATCACTGGAGAAGCAGGGTGTGTGGATGTGGGTGGGAAATGGTGACACCAAAATGTGATTTCCCTCCAAGCAATGTGTCATAGGAAAGGAAGCAGATTGGTGACCCTTCTTCTGCTTTCTTATGTGAGGCATGAAATAGTTACTGGTGTTGACATTTAAATTATCGTTAGCATTGACATATTGTTGAGATAGATGAGGAGAGGTGATAATAATTCAGAGTTGTTGTACGCAACACTCTGAATCCCATAAACACAGCTCTCCACTGCTGCTGCTTAATCACATTTTTATCTTTTTTTTGCAAACATCATCAAGTTTTATTTAAAACAGTTATTGCTGTTCTGTGAATCTCAGGCCCTTGGGGTCAGAAGAGATACTTTTTCTGTCTCATTATCCCCTCTTAAGCCTTTTGCTGGAGCTACCTTGCTCAGTTACTTCTGTATGTCCAGGAGTCTCACTGTACTCTGTAAGCTGGTGTGGGGCCAAAATGATGTTGATTCTCATCATACTGCAGGAAATGTTTGAAGTCTTAAAACCACTCCTATATTTATTTGGGGTGCACTTTACTGATGCATATTCTTTGTTTACAAATGTTCTTTTTCCCTCGGGACATCGTTTTGCCTTGATATGGATTTTTTGTCTGATTTACTGTGGAACATTTACTTTGATTCCACAATAAATTGTTAATAGTGAATTCTTTTTTGGGGGTTGTTTTTGCTGAAGGAGAATTATCTATACTGTTCTTGTTAAACTTTTTAGTGACTTTTTGTTAAAAACTCATGTATAGAAATAGTTTCAGTGTCTTAAGAGATAAAATGTTGCCTTTTTTGCTGGGCTCATTGTCACACAGGCTGTAATATTTTTTTTCTTTGGTTTTGCTGTGTAGGACTTCAGAACAGAATGCAGATAATGAAGGAAATTATAATCTGGAAAAGGATACAAACTTGGCCAAGTCTCTTCAGCAATATCTGACATATCTAGGTATTCTCTCCCAGTCTGCAGCTACAAACCTGTATCCAAGGAAGAAGAATGACAAAGGTTCTGTCAAGGTTGTATCTTTAAAGTGGTTCCTATGTTTTGTGTTTTTTGACTTCCTTCTTCTGTGAGCTTTCCTAATTTTGTAATATTCCCTTCTGTCCTAACACCAAACATTGTTTCTCACTGCCTCCTCAGGTTATCATAACGGCACATTATTTAGCCCAGTTCTCTCCAAGTGGTTAGGATCAGCTTCGGCACTCTAAACAATAGCATTCTTCTAAACCGGATCATTTTCGCTTAATTAGGGACGGATTATATGTGAGGAAGGGGGAGGAGAGGGATAAAGGTGGCAACATCTTTACTGGCTGAGGTGACACCCTGGTTACAGAATCTGAACTGCTCCTCTCCAGAAAGCTGGCTGAGCGACTCTGTAAATTCTTGGCGGACATGTATGGTGGAAGGCATCTGATTAGGTATCTAAGGTCTGCAGTGCAGGCATCTAACCTGAGCTAACCACCTTAGACTACCTTTATAGTCAGTAGAGATCTCATCTATACTATTTATGGTATTTAGGGAACAACTGACATAATCTTTGAGCAGATTTTGACAATAGGTCTGCTGAACTCTGCTTCAAAAGTTCCTCCTTCTTGTTGATCATAAAGGAAGTCTATGGTGACAAATTAAGATTCTGGTATATACATTATAGATATACATATAGTTAGGCAAGATAAATCACACCGATTCAATCTTATGTATTTTCCTCTGATTAAAAGAAGTACCTATCTGAAAGCAAAACTATTATTTTCTTTCTTAAAGAAAAACTGGTTCTGAGGCAGCTTGATAAATTTAACATGATCAGCAGAAGTGGCTTTATATGACAGGTCCTCCAGCCTATATCTTTTGCTCAAAAATGTCTTTTGCCCAGAATAATCTATTATTTTAAAGAAATAGGCTGCTATTATAGGGCACCTTTTAAAACATTGGTATGTGCTATTTTCATGAATACAGTGTAAATACAACAGCCTTAGCTAAGAAATATACTGAAGAAAAATTCAGGTGAAGAAAATACAGTATCAAAGCCAAACTGCTACCTTTTCCAATAATTAACTCAGAGGCACAGAACCATTGTAGTGTATCTGCAACAAGAGCTCCTCAAATCAGTGTAAGTTGTATCAACTCTTTATTCAGTCACGCTATATCTGAAATATTATTATTCCAGTCAGAAGTTGGAAATTTGCAATTTCACTGATTGACATAGTAAGTTACAACATATGGAATATGACAACGGGTGCTCAGCTTGCGTAAGAGAAACATCCAGGCAGCAGCAAGGCAGCAGCTTTGGGAGCTAATGAGTGACCACCTTCGCGGTGCTTTTCCTCAGCTCCTTAGTCCTGAGCGTGGACTTCAGTAACAGTGCTGTTCTCCGAAGCACTGGCTTTCAGGGACGTGAAAACTTGTCCAAGAAGTATTTCAGTGGGTCTGGTGCTGTCATGCAAGTTCATAAATAATCCATATGGTTGAGACCTTCTGTGGGGAAGCCTGCTGTGATACCACCACCCACCAATGTTATTGAGCGTTTCCATGGAGACAGCTACTTAGAAGCCTGGGGGAGTGGGATAAATAGGGGAAAATCTGGAAATGAAGCACGTATAGAAACAAGCTGTAGACTTATTTTTACTAAAGAGCATTTAAAAAAATAGGCAAGGAGCCAGATGTGTTACCTGTAATTTAAAATCAAACAAAAGATAGGAAAAATATCTTAAAAATTAGTAACTGATCAAGAATTTTAACTGATCCTGGAGGCTTTCCCCTGTCCTCTTCAAATCAAACGCAACTGCTGTTCTTAAAAAGAAGCAAGTGGGATGCTGTATTTGTAGCTTGATTCAATGTGTTGTTAATGGTATAACCTTTAAACAAAATAGAAACAAGGATGTCTGTGAATTCGTGAGACGGAAAAAATGTAAAATTTAATTGTTTGAAAAGGGTAGTAAGGAAAGTAACCGCAGGAGCTGCATTTAATATGGCTGCGCCACTTGAAATTGAAAGCTGTGATTTTATCCACTTCTATTGCATGGCTCAACAAAATCTTGATATCTCATTATTGTTCTACTATGTAGATAGGTTTTGAACCTACATTAAATAATTGTAGCAATTTCTTATGTTTTTAACTTCCTTGCACTTTCTTGATTAATAATATGGGTAAGACACAGGTACTCTACCCTAGTTACACTTAGAATTGCAACTTTTTGGCCTTTGCCTTTCTTACAAAATCATTTTCTTTCAAGTATATATTTACCTCTGTCACTTCGTGCTTGCTGCCATGGAGCAGGAGATGCAACACTGCTCCTGGTTACTTTGATACCTCAGCTTCTGTGATGTGTAGCTGAAGCTTGCAGAAATTTAGTGCTTTTAAGCAGACTGCCTGAGCGGCTCCTGATTTGTTCCAAAACTGTCATCAGAGAACTCTGGACAAGAGTGAAATAAAGAAAGAAGAAGGATAAAGTATGTTTAAAATTTAAACTTGTTATACTCCCAGAAGTCTTGTTCAGTATGTTACGTATTTTTAATCAAACTGTTTTACCAGCTTTTGGTCTTTAGTTTTCCCACCATCTTCCACAAGTGCATTACCAGAATAAAACTATCAAGCTTCAGCACCATCAAGTATAGAGTACCAAACAGTTATGTACATAACTGTAAAATGAGATATACATCTCTCATATTGTATAATGTATTTATATGTATTTAAAATACAGCAGAAGTTTTTTAAAACAAGTAACTTTTCCTAGTTCACCTGTTCAAACTACTGTCAACTTGAGGCTTGATGCAACAGCAACAGAAATCACACTATCGAACTTAAATCATATGATGCAACAGAATTTCTGTAATGTTCACCATTTATTGCAGGAGCTTCTTAAAGTGCTTTTTGAAGTGCTTGACTTTCATCACTAACTTAGAATTTTTTCTCAGTATTTAGACAGTATCTATTGCAGGCTATAATCTAGCCATTTGATAATGACTTTCAGTGGATAAATAGCAGTAAAGCAGAAGATTTGGTGAGTCTGTTTCCTGGAGATTACCACTGTAAAGAACATTTCACTTTGGTTCAGCTGAAAAGAGTTGTTCAGGAAATGAGCACTTGGTGGCATTTGTTACTTAAGCATTAGCTAATATTTTTTTCCCACTCTGGCTTGATGAAGGTTTTACCGTTCCCAAAATGCTACGCTATCAGTCTTTGGGCTACCTTTCCACCAGACCTGAACTTAGTGTGAAAAATAACATATAGCCAGACATACATGCACTGTGAGAAAGCTTGATTTATCTTAATGTGAGGCAAGAAATGCAAAGGCTTCAGGTTGTGTGAGGATTCCCCTTCCCCCACTTTCCCTCTTTCTTCCAGGAAAAAAAAAACCAAACAAACTCAAAAAACCCCTCCACTGTTTACATTTCTGCTGAAACTAAGGTAGGTCAGCTGTGTTGGGTTGGAAGGGCCAGCACAGAGCTGAAATTTATATTATATTTATATTTATATTCATATTCATATTTATATGTTGTATTATATTATATGCTCTCTTTTGCCTGTTTCTGATGTTTATTAAATTAACATGCTAGGTATTGCTTGCATCTCAGATTATACCTTGTGCTGTTAACTCTTGTGGCTTTCACAGAACTTTGGTTTTGCTAACAAGTATTTGGTGAGTTTTAAGAAGTCCAAATGCCTGCAGTGGTATAATTACATGAGGTTTCAATTATGTGGCTTTCACTTGACTGAGAATAATTTTTAGTTATCACAGAAAGAGGAAAGATTTGAAATGTGATCCAGATGTACTTAAAAGGCTCAAAATCAGGAGGTGAATAAAAATAGTTCAGCTGGTTTGTTTATTCCTTCAGCTGTCATTTTTACATATTCTCATGGCTTCTGGTAGCCGGACGTGAATTTTTTAATGCCTCACGCTGGCAGAAGTGCGCTGCTTTGGCAACACAGCACTGCAATGTGCTCATTTCAGATGCAGGAGCTGTAGGGCACAGCCGCCTTCCTCCTCCTCGTTCCTCTTCCTCCTCCTTGTCCTCTCCCGGAGCTCTGCTCTGGGGACGGACACTACACTGACTCCTCCGGGAAGCCTCCTGGACAGGCTATAGGAATATGCAAGTTGCCTGCTACATTTACGCTAAGGCTGCTTTTATTGTGCCAGGGGTCTCCTGTTTATGGTTTAGGATTTTTCGAGCTGGATTTTGGAGCTTGCTCTTACTCTGTCACTGTGACTTGGGCCTCCACGGTCTTCATAGATGGGTCATACCTGCAGCTAAAGTCTTCCTCCTCAGGCTGCTGCGCTGTTCAGGCCCTAGTATCTAGCGTGGGGAGGAAAACAGAAAATCAATTAACTCGGAGTCTTCAAGGAGTTTCAGTCCATTTTCCTGTTTTTTTTTCTCTTTATTTGATTTTAATTACTTGCATTTATTTTGCTGGTAGGCTTTATGTATGAATATATTGATAGTAGAAATCTCTGAGTCCCAGGCAATCTGAAAAGCTCCAAAGGAAAGAGTTTGGAAAAAACAGAATTTTCTTTACATCAAAGAAGTTGCCAATAAAGTTATAAGTCTTTGCCGAATCGTGGAGAGAAAAAGAAATGGATGAAGTGACTGGCTAGTGGGCAGGGAGGTACGGCCAGTAGACAGACCCGCTGCGCAGCAGTGTTGAAAGGGGAGAGGGTACAATTTAAATCTCATAGCTGGGGTCCGCAAGACTCTCGAACTTTGAAAAGGGCAGACGGGGCGTTTGGCAGAGCCTGCGGTTCGATCCTGAGTACGACAGGGAACCTGCCATACTTCATTGCCCCTTTCACATTGAGGGCAGAGTATGCATAGCTTTGCTGGATTGAAAATCAATTGTGTGATGCTTTGTAATTGATCTCCTGGAAGAACTAAGATATATGATACTTATTAAGAAGGATTATTATTTGTGTTAGAAAAATCTGAGTGCACAAATTCTCTAAAATGTAGTCGGAACTTATCTGCAAGCCATAATTATTCTGATTAACTAGTAAGAAAGTACACAGTCATTGCTCATTTTAAT